AAGTATATATCTTACAAAAGATGGGAAGGATAATGAGTAAAAGTACGATATTTAATGGCGTATTTAACATCACCTTTCGATTCCTCGGCGTGAATTCATTGAAATACGAGACGCGCTAATGGCAACCGAGTTAACATAGGAGTATGTCGCATATCGATCGTGCGATTAGAGCGAACTTCAAACGTGTTTAAGCGGTTTAAACCTACGATCGATTTTGAAAGGGTTGTTAGCCTTATTTGACACGTCAATTGCCGGAGAAATGTTAAGAGATTGTATCAAAGAATCAACGTTCCAGGTCTGTACGTGCTTTACTTCATTAACTAGAACTTTGGAAGTTTATATTTCATTTTGTGGCAGTGTAATATAAACGATCGATTCTTATGGAAATAATCCGTAAGAAAGTTTCTAGAATTTAAATATATTTAATTATCTATATTTAATATTTTCGTGAGATAAACGTTAATTTTTATTAACCTACAGCGCAAGGTGTTACGTATGTACAGGAAATTCCAAAAGTAAATGACCCATCTATTATTGCTATCTTTATGACCAATTAAACGAACGTGCAGATAAATTTTCTATTTTTATTATACGTTTCGGTTAAGCGAAATTTCTTGCTCTCCGACAATTTTCTTGGACTACAAAAAAAAAAAAAGATAACGGCCTAGACCGACTAGAAGGTGAACGAATATTTTACAACGAAGGAAAATTGTTTTCGCAGCTGTATCGCGAGCGAAAACAAATCTCGATTACTCGGGGCATAGTACGCGTTCCAACGTAAACGAGTCACTAAATTTGGACATCCTGTAAGGATAGACTTCCGTTCTCCGAACCTGCCACTCGTAATTCACCAAGATAAATATTATAAATGTTTCTACGAATTTTCTCCCTTGTTCACGTTCACACACCCTCTCCCTTATTTTAGAAGGGTGGTGAGAATTTTTTTTCTTCTCATATATTATGGAAATAAACAAGTCAAAATGTATCTTGAAAGGTGACTGAACGAATCGAGGGAAAGAAATAAAATTATGACTAGAAAGGAAGAATTTTTTTTTCAATATTATAGAAATAAACAAATCAAAAAATATATTGAAAATATGTGTGGCTGAGCGAATCAATTACGAGTATAAAGTTTTGTTTACATTTCATTTGGAATTTAGACACAGGTTTAATTTCCATTCTTAAATTCGATTTAAAAGATATCAATGCCGGATGAATGTTGAACACGGAAATAACGAAATTATATTTTATTTTTCCAATTATTATTATCATTATTATTATAAAAATATTTTAATCGCAACAATGGATATTATTGTATCCACAATTCCAAAATTAATAATTCGTAATCGAATTAACCTTCGTTCGGTGGTATGAAGAATCGAAGGCAATGAACGATCGATTCGTTATTTAATGGTCGTTCGGATCGCGAGTACCACGCGCTTCCCACGCGCGATTTTCTTTTTCTCCCTTTCTCGTTCGGCCTTGGAACCGTGGCGGCAGCTACTGTGTTGCTCCGTCCTGTCCCCAGCTACGCCCCCGCGTTTCCACCAGGAAAATTGATCGATCATTTTCCACGCGTCCAGCACGCAAGCCCCGTGACATTGGAAAACGCTTTTAAACGGTTATTCTCCCGACGAGTGGTTTTCGATGGACGCGCACCGGCTATTTCATTCGGCCTCGATTACTTCCCTCGCATCGTTCGACGATCATGCGTTATGTCCTCCGTTCAAAGCGCTCCATGTATGTTTTCGTGTATACATATTTTAGAAATTATCGTGGATTTGTTTTTTTTTTTTTTAACCTTATTTTATTATTATTTTTCTTATTAATATCTACCATTATGTATCGTGTTCTTTATTCACAAAACGCTCCATATACGGTTTATATATGTTGTAAAAATTATCATAGATTTATTTTTTTTTGTGTGTCACATTGTCCATTTACAAAAAACTCTATATATATTTTTTATATATTTTAAAAATTAAATATATTTTTTTTCTATATATGTTTTAAAAATTATCATAAATATATGTATATATATTTTTTAAATCTTATTTTATTAATATTTTTCTTAATTATCGACAATCATGTGTCGTGTTCTTCATTCACAAAACTCTATATATTTTTGTATATATTTTAGAAATTATTGTAAATTTATTTCTTTTTTGTTATATTTTCCATTCACAAAGAACTCCATATATATTTGTATATATTTTAATAAATTTAATAAATTAATTAAATTTAATAAATTATATAGAAATATATATTTTTTTTGTGTCATGTTTTGCATTCAAAATATTTCATATATGTTTGTATTTGTTTTAAAAATTATCGTAGATTTATTTGAATCTTATTCTGTTAATATTTTTTTTTTAATTTTCTATTTTATTTTATTATTTCTTTTATTATTTTTTATTAATATTTTTTTAGCATCGATTATCATGTCATATGCTCCTCATTTATGTGCAAAATATGTTTTGGAATATTTGGAAATTAAAGTAGATCTAAATTTTTTGAAATCTTTTATTAATATTTTCCATATTTTATTAATATCATTAAATCCTTCATTCACATGTATAAAATTAACTCTATAAAAATTATCATAGATCTACTTTCTTGAATCTTATTTTGACTGATTTTTCATCATAAACTTATTATTGTTTTATTGATATTCCTCTGGGTGTAGAAAATTTTAATTATGGAAAATCAATTTCAAGTTCATTGATACTCCTCTCCTTGTAACACCATCATTCATTTAAAAATTGTACATTTGTATTTTTTTAAATCTTATTTATTATTGGAAATATTTAATTTCTTTAAAATCTTTAAAAATTTTTTATTTCTTCTTTTTTTACAATATTCTGTTAGTAAAGATTTCCCCTCTTGATCATAGTAGTTAATCGTGAGAGAGGAATCTCATCGAAGCGCAACGATTACGTTGCTCGAAACGGTCGATGCGAATTGCGTAACATGCAAGTCATAACCAGGATAGAGAGGTTCTCACATTTAATACACAAGATATAACCTTTATTAAAATATTTCGTATACAAGTATCCCTTAAAATTAACAAACCTTTAATTTTAAACAATAATTTATTAATTTTTAATATCTTTATATTTATCTTTCTTCAGAGATAAAGGAAAAATTTTGGAAGAATCGATACGTTTCCGATACGAAATCAAATACCAAAAAAAAAAAAAAAACAATTATAAAGTAACGAAAAATTCTACGAAATATTTTTCCATGTACTAAAAATAAAAACATTGAATATAAAATGTTCATGACACGACTATACATATATACATGTCGTTATAGAATAAGAGATCTCTATGACGCACACGTTGCGTCACCAATCTCGAGCAAACAATTATTCGCATATTATTTATCAATTAAAAAAAAAAATTTTTTTTGATTTTCAGCCGCCGGAGAACGAGTTGCAGAAAGTCGGCGAACGTGTGCCAAGCGAGCACGAGCTCAGAGTGCAAAGGTCTCTGCAACGACTGAACGTCCCAGATTGGTACAAGAATTCTCCCGCTGCTCGCGATGGTTTCCGGTTAAAGAGGCACTCAGATGCGTCTCAGCACGGAGGATGGCGTGCTCTTGGCTCGAAAACCACTTCCCTCTCGTCCCTTTCATCGTCTTCCAATAGACAGCCGACTACAGGTAAGACACTACTGCGTCTTGTCTTGTTTTTATCTTCAGTTTTTCGTTTCTTTTTTTTTTTTTTTTAACGTCTTTCAATTTTGTTGCTTTTCATCGAAGCGAAGGTATTAAAACTAAAACTATTTTATCGGATCGCAAGAGCGCTTGAAACGCGACACCGAATCGAAGGTGAAAGGGAATATGGGATAAAAGACAATGAAGAAGAATGATCGAATGACAATTCGATTCGATAGCGCGTCGATCTTGCTTTGAAAAGTAAAAAAAAAAAAAAAAGAATCACTGAGAATTTTTCGCTCAGAATTCGTTCATTTTTGTTCGAATAATTTTGCTGTCACGATAGAATTATGATGATCAAGGAAGTAAAACATGTTTTATGAATTTATATTTTATACGAATGCTCGAGTACGGATTATTATATAGCTTTTATAATCATATATCAATGAAGACAATAATATCGCTTTGTACCGTCATCTTTTGAATATTTATTTGAATATTATTCAGAAATGAACGTAAGATTTATAAAGGTATTACTATCTGCGAAAGCTTTTTCTCCCGCGGGAGAGTTTAATGGCTCTTACTTTGAAATTTCATTACATTGACTCGACCAAGGATACTCTTGAAAGACGAAATATAAATACTTCGCGATTCTTCTTTACTATTTATTTCGCTTTGGAGAGTGGAGGGGGACAGTAATTACCCTCTTCCTTACCTCTCGTCTCTGAACAACGACCTCTCGTCGCTCTCTACGTAACTACTTACTACAATTCGTTTCAATATTGATCGTGAATCAACTCGTAACTAAACGCGTGTAATAGAGGAGAAAAAGTTTCGTGGAAAGTGGACAGGCAAACGTCGATATGAAATCCTTCGAAACGAGCGGTAAAAGAGGAACGATTCGCAATGAAACGGCGCAATATCAAGCAAACGGCCCTCTTCCCTCCTTTGAAAAGGCGAGCAACGGTCCGAAATTAGCCGTGTAGCGAGAGGCCAATTTCATTCCCCCTCTCCATCTCTCTTTACCCCCTCCTTTCCTCTCTTGTCCAAGCAGAAGCGTGGTTGGTAGTAGTAGTAGGCTCTCGCGGATATTCTCTCTCTGGCCGTCACCGCGTCGAGTGACTGCTAATAGGAAGCGGCTAATAAATTTAGCGAGCCAAGTTAACTCGATTAATTCAATTCTCTGACGAATACGGTAGTACGGTCGTCGTCCGTTAACGACAGTGGCGCTTTTTCTCTCGCAGCCACGTTGTTGTCGGCGTACTGCAATATAAGGTTTACCCTTTTTCAGAATGGCTGGAAAATGTTCAAGAACGCTTCTCTAACGAGAGAACGCGATTTGTCAAGGGAGGGCACTAATTACCAGATTTTAAAGGGCTGTTGCCAACACGCTGCCGCGGTTTTCGTTGTTCGAGGGTGGGGAGGATGTCTGAAAAAAGCAAAGTTCGCGAGACACCCCATTTTTAAATGGTGTCTGATGCCGAATTCGCGATGCTTTCAGGTCTTTTGATTTTAACAGATGCAAGAAAGCTTTTTTTTTTTTTTTTTTTAAGGAAAAGTAAATATGAGCG